TATTAATAGTTAACGACTAGGCGTAGTTGCCGGGCGTCTGTACGACGGCCGCGCGCATGGCTTCGCCGAGTTTTTCCGCGCGGTGGAGCACCCAGAGACGTACAAAGAGGAGCAGCAAGAAGACGACGAGGGTGCCCGCGGCAATCGCAACCGCCAGCTCGTACTGATGCGCGACCGTCATGAGCGTGTGACCAAAGCACGCGCCATACGACGGGTTCAAATACGTCCTTTCATGCATATAGAGCGACGTCGAAAAATAGCAGTAGTCGTTCCCGTCCTTGCGTTTGTACTCGGAGCAGAGGGCGGTGGCGACGCAGTAGGCGCCTGTGGGCTTGGGCACATCCATGGGGCACGTGGCATGGATCCAGCGATCGAGCGCATCGGGCTTGGTCGCGATGTTGGAGAGCGCGGCGCAGCCTTGGCAGAGTTTATTGAGGTCACGGTTGAACTCATCGGCGCGCTCGATTCCCGCCACGATGACATTGCTTCTCCCACTCGCCAGGTTGACGGCGGCGCAGAAGCTGTCGATAGTTGTTGACGCTGTCACCGGAACGTCCAGAAACGTCGTCGGGAGCGTCGAAAGGGTGCGTGCAATCTCGGCCGTCACGTTCGGGTCGGGCCACATGCCCGGGTACAAGATGGTCTGAACGAGTGGATGAGCGCTGCAAAATCGGTGGCCTTCGCTCACGCAGTACGCGTCCGCAAAAGCTCGTGCGGCCTTGGACGGGTACTCGCTCGCGATGGGGTTCCGTGGTGCATTGGCGACGCCACTACCAAGTGTGTGGCTGTAGTTGTACTGGCGCGACGCGTCCGAGGCGAAGAACGCCTCCATGCGGTGCTGGTACGTTGTGAGCGCTGGCGCATTCTTGATCGCTCGCATCGTGAGAGGAATCGCGTTGACGGCGTCGCCCAAGAGCACGCTGCAGCAGGCCAAGTCGGCAAAGAGAAGGAAGAGACACAACGAGTGCGACGGATCGCCCCGCGTCCAAACGATATGCACGAGACCAAGCGCAGCAAAGGTGGTGGTGAAGATGCTCGTCACGACCATGTCTTCGTGCGGCAACATAACGAGCTCATTGTACATGGAGCTGGCGAGGGCAGCGATGCAGGCACCGAAGGCGGCGACAGCGACAAAGGTGATGACCACGGCAATCGTCGTGCGCGTTGGCTTGGGCATATTGGGAAATGACACGACTCTACGTGCTCGTGCTGCCGTGTCCAGTAAGAAGACGCAGCGGCATGTCCACGGCCTGTCTGTCTCTGTTGGACTCTGCGTTGAAGAGATTTAACGCGTTAATCTACAGAGGTGCGCGTCGCTGCGGCAAGACCGATGCACTGTGCTCGTGTGGGTCTAGACCGCGACAAGCAAAATGAATCTACGACGCTTGGACGGCCGCTGGAAGCCAAGATAGGATGGCTTGGTTTTGACGTTGGACCCACTTGAAACCGCATTTTCGGAATCGACCGATGACCACTTTGTCCTTGGCAGCCATAACGTTAATGTAACATCTCGTGCGTTGACGACAAGCTCGTGGCGTCTCGTGGCGTCGTCGTGATGCGATCTTTGTCGATACACGTACACGAAGAAGCATTGGAGGCCAGTCAATTGCCCCGCTGCAACCAAAGCGTCGTTAGCTGTCTCGACGATTGTCGATTCTCAAGCCATTACCCTCGTGCCATGCCTGCTTTACCGCCACGTACTATTAATAGGAGCATCGTCACTACATGTACCTTTGTGAGCGCTCTCCGAGACGTTTGACGATCCCAATTCTGTACAGCGGTAGACTCAGGACTTATGGGTCGCGACCACCTGTGATGCAACATGGCAAGGTCGACGCTCCACCTGGCGTGCGTAACTGCTGGGCCACGTCTAATCTTTTACCAAAATCGTCTCAATAAGAGTTGTATTTCTCTGCTTCATTGGCATCGAAGCATTGCTTGCGGTCTGGATTCTTGCATGAGATCAGATCGGTCCAGCGGAATCTGCCTCGGTACAAGAGATGTTGGGGGCGTCCCACTTTGGTGTGCATCCAGAAAGAGCCCGTGGTTTAATCTCGGCGCGTCGCGGCGATCGTGGGATCGTGAGAGACACTTGCGAGAAATCACTTACCTTGCCAACCCGCCAATCACGCGCGCCGGGTCTCTACCGCTGGAAGCTCGCCAGTCGCG